ACTTTTGTTTGTCCTCAAATAAAACAAAGACCAAAATCTCGGTGAGAGGTTTGAAAACGTAGGAACTAACAAAATCTCATAGACCATACTTCTAGACTGATATCAATCATTATGCATCAATCGAGGATAGCCTAGAAAATTATCACTAAAAATACGAGCATAACTAGTCTGTTATTTCGTCTTGCGGAAATCTTAGATTTAACTTCCAGTCAACTAGCTCTTAATATTCATTAAAAATCTCGGTGGTTCTCATCAAATAAAGTATAAGCAAGGCGATCTAAGCTAGGTATTAAAAGTGGTTCTTCTAGGGGTGATGTTTAAATGAGTTTAGGATTACCTGAAGATGTGGAGGATGCAAGATATTATGCAAAACCGCAAGAGAGAGTGAACCTGCTGATATCCACAGTTTCCAGTCACTTTTTTTCTTACCATAAATCTCTGATCTTCTTCCTCAGGTTCTCTCGTAACTCCTCCAGACTTAGATCATTGTCTAGCTTACAAAATCATAACTCCATAGATGAATAATAGTTGCCTTTGCTCCAAATAAATTCGACAATCTAAGACTCATTAAGCTTTTGTTTCTTTTCTTTTCTTTCATTTTTTTTGAAAGAGGAAACACGTTTAGATGGAGAGTCATAGAGAGCACGAAATTACCCATAAGAATGAGTTCTCTGAGGCAATATGAAGCTTGATAAGATTTCTGATACTCTTCCTTCCCAATTCCATTCAGTCTTTATATTGAGTAACTGAAAACTGCATCGTTCCTCTTCTCTCCGGCGTTTTTGCACATATCTGCTGATATAAACTAGAGATAGAATGCATGAGGTTCAAAAAGAAAGGGTTTGGGTTTAGGGTGTGGTACCAGCTAAAGATGAACTGGCTATCTAGGACAACAAAGAGTGGTAAAAATGAGGAAAAAGATGTCTTACGTATATCTCGATGCCTGCCTATAATCAATGATGAGAAATTTAAATATCAATATTAAGGTCAGATAAAACGAGCTAATATATCTTGTCAGAAAGAAACTCCATGAATAGAAGTCCACTGGTGGGAGTTCGTAGTGCAAGTATTTAAGCTACCGCCTAGTCTAGTGCTAGCCACAAATGAGCTATCATGCGTAGTGTAGAAGCATGCAGGTCTAAGTCATCATAGTTTTTGAAACGCTCCTGAAAAATACTAAAAGTCACATAGGTTACATTTAAAGATTTAAAAAATACTTGAAAATGAAAAACAAAGCAAGAGAACGATAAGTACGGATAGACATCCTCCCCCAGACTTAAATCACATTGTCCCCAGTGTGAGAAAGTTGGTGAGAAGATGATAAATAAAGGCAAGATAATCTAAAAATAAAAGAAAATAAAATGATGATAAAACCGTGGGGAGATGATGATGAAATGTTGATCAATCAATCCTCCTCTGATGTGTCTGCATCGAACTAGTGTTGTTCCTGCGGGAAGGTGACGACGCGCTCAAAATGACGTCCCTGTCTCTCAGCTCTGCGCTCCAGGTTAGACTGTGTGCGTGATGATGTAGATGATGAAGTATGGTCGGTGGAAACTGATGGCTGATAGCCAGAACGTGCTGCAGCTGCATCGCGTTTGGCCTTAGCCACTATATATTTTTGATAGTGAATGGCAGGCAAGGTACAAAAGGTAGAAACTCATCAGGTCTTGGAGTCCATTGCGGGCGTGCTCCGTCACACAGTCTCGTGACTGATACTGAAGGTAAATAAACTCGGTGCTCCTCGGTGCCAGTGTAATACTTGTAACCGAACCTGTCTGGGTCAAAAATGGCACGAGAGATAGTGTGATCGCGAGAGAGATAGAGTAGATCATACCAGATGTCGGGAAGTGGGACATCAGATGAGAAATCAAATCCGACAGCTTGTAGTATGGCTGTGATGGCGCTCTCAAAAGAAGTAGATGCATTCTCACATCCATGTAAATCGTGCTTCACCTTTACCATGTTCTGTGCGATGATCCAGGCAAAGCAGGCAAGTCAAGGGTTGTTCAGAAATGGTATCTGAAGTGTAATAAGCTTGGTCTTCAGGACACACCACGTGTTGGCTATAGAGAAAATCGTGTGTGCCAAGAGTTTGTGCACCACTCTCACCACAGGGTGAGTAAGAAGGACTGACTTGGATCTCCCACTATCATAGACACCCTCTCCATAAGTCAAAATCAGGCTCTTCTTCGAGATGAACGCTATCAATGTATGGAAGCTTAAGAGCTTCACAAAGTGCAGAAATAGTTAGTGAGTAGGACTGTCCGCGGATAAAGAATGATTAAACACCGTCAGATGCTCTGGGGCTCCTCCTCTTCGTGTGGTGAAGGGTGACGGTTGCTAAGAACTCGTGAACTAGCTCAGCATAGGCTGAAAGATTCAGCTCCATGTATGGTCTCAGTCCAAGTGCATCGATGTACCAGATAACATCCTCTCTAATACCAAGCATCTCGAGTGTATGATAATCGATGCAAGGTGTCGATTTGATATTTAGCTTCTGGAACCGCCTTGCATAGCCGACTCTTGGGTTCATCTCCTTCCCAATGTATCTGATCTTTGGTGGCTCGGGAATCGCATGGGCTTCTCGTGACTGTTGGAGCAGCCTCATCACTCGACCTCTTGTTCTTGGTCTAGCCCGGCTCAGCATGTACTCTCCAAGAGTACTATCATCGGGTTCTGTCTCGGAGCTATCACCAGTGCGACGGCTTCTTCGAGACTCGGTTCGATCCATGTCCCTACAAGACAATGTAATTCTCGGAAAATAGTGAATATGGATGCTGAGATTAACAACGATCAGGGATACAAATCAGAGTATAAAGAGATCACTTAAAACAACAAGCAAGCATAATTGATATCAATTCGAAAAATCAAGTAGTTCATGACCAGATTCGGATTTGTGATGTTCTTGACATAGAAATCTTCTAAAAATCTGTTTAATTTAGCAATTTCCATGTAAAATCTATAGGTTACCTAGTACCAATCACTAATCACATAAGACTTGATTGGATTCATCAACTTTATTAGTCCAAATTCGATTTTCACAAAGCTTGTAGATTCCAAATTTCAAAATTCTCAAATCCTCTTAAACCAAGCAGCTAAAAACTTGTACTTCTTTTTGGGTTTTTCTGATTTTTTTTTTGTATTTTTATTTTATAAGAGTATCTGAAACTTAAAAGGAAGAGAAAACATAAATTACAAAAAGGGGAAAAGAAAATTAAAAGAAAGTGTACCTAAATGGGTTGCCTCCCATTAAGTGCTTTTGTTTTAAGTCGTTTAGCTCGACTTAGGTTTAGGGAATCAGGTAAGAGGACATGGCACTTCTCATGATGTGCCTTCAACGTTCCCAAGTTGTTGATTTGACTTCTTCTCCTTGTAGTACTAACTTCTTTCCCTTACTCTGCTTGCGGACTTTAACGTTGGTTAAGACCTTTTTTGTGCTCTCAACCAGCTCTTGGATCTGTTCCTCGATAGATTCTGTTAAATCTGGTGGGACAATGATCTTGATTTTTGCAAAGGGGCTTGATTTGTGATTCAGCTTCTTTCTCTTTCGACCGATTACCCTTGGTCTCCGAGTTAATGTTTGGAACCTAGTCTCGGAGAAGGGGATAAAACTTCTTTCGGTCCACATTCAGGAAGACAGCATGCCGGTTCGCATGATCAATTACTGCTCCTACTATCGCTAGAAATGGTCGGCCAAATATGAGCGGTCTTTCTTTGTCTTGATCCATCTCCAAAACTTGGAAGTCTGCTGGAACAATCTTGTTTCCAACTAGAATCTGCAGGTCTTGAATCGCCCATTCGGTATCTTTTTGGGAAGAATCTCCAAAAATTACCTTAACCGTCGATTTCTTTAGTGCTTTCATCCTTAGTTTCTCGGCAAATGTCTTAGACATGATGTTGACATTGGCTCCGGAATCGCATAAACAGTCTGTGAACTTGATTCCTGAAATGAAACATTGGAAAGAGAAACGTCTCGGATCATCGGCTTGGTTAACCTTTAAAATGGGGAACGTTGGAATACTTTAAAGGGTAGTTGTATTGCATCGACATTCTTGTAGAGGGATATGAAAGCTGAGGTTTCTTTGTCCTCTTCTTCGGCTACAGCTCCTTCTTCGGGCAGCATGGTGATAGCGTTGCAAAATATTTTGGGATTATCTTCAACTCTCCCGGGAAGAGCTCCATTTTGTCTCTTCATAGAATCGACTATCTAGACAAACTCGACGTCTAGATTTTTGACGTGGAAGATAAAGCTTCAAACTTTCCGTTCAGGTCATTGTACATGGAATCAACCTTTACGTTTATGTCTTTAGCTGCTTTCTCATTTGTCATGACAACCTGTTGGATAGACTGTTCAAGTCTTCCAATTCGCAAAGCTAGCTGGTTTGTTGTAACTCCCTGCTGTTGTCCATATTGATTATTGTATCCGGCCTGTATCTTGATAGTTATATGGTTGCCGTGGCTGGAAAGCTCCATTTCCTCTGAAATTTCCGTTTTGAAACTTGTTTTGGAATGGTCTTTGCTGCGGTGAGTAATGCTGGTCCTGAGGGTTCTCCACATTTGGATTCTGGTAAGAGAGATTGTTGAAATTGGCATTCCGGAAGTTGTTTTTGAAACCATTGTTGAAGTGATTTGGATATGGTGCTTGTGCTCCTACATAGTTCACTTCTTCTTCTTGAAAGGTTGGATTAGTGTGATCGGTATGGTCTTTCATCTTCTGCGCCATTGTTGGTCTCACAGGCATGGATTGGGCGGTTGTTTAGAAGTTGGCTTATCATGTTCTTCAACTCGGTTCTCTATTTATTGTCTGTTCCAGTCGGCTTCGTGGAGCGATCATATTTTGGACAGTCATTGCTATTAGCTTGAGCTAAATTCTCGATGAGGGCTCTTCCTTGTGCTATCGTCTTTTGTCTGAAATCTCCATTGCTGGCTATATCTAGAGAAAGTTTTTACCTTGGTTGCAAACCTCAGTAAAATTTGCTCAACAGCTTGATCCGAGAAATCCATGGTGGGGGCAGTCACGTTCATACTCTTTAAAACGTTCCCAAGCTTCATAGAAAGGTTTGACCAGTCTTTGCTGGAAACTTGAGATCTTGTTTCTCAGTACATTCGACCTTGACTTAGTATAGAAGTGGTTCAGGAAAGAAGTTTTACATTCTTCCCAATTAGTGATCGATCCTGCAGGCAAAGATTTCAACCAACGAGGAGCTTTATCTGCTAATGAAAAAGGGAGCAACTTACACTTAAGATAATCTGCTGGGACTTGGTTTGTTCTCATCATGCTGCAGATTTCTTCAAAGAGCTCAATGTGATCCATTGGATGTTCAGAAGAAACTCCATGGAATTGGTTTTGTTTCACCAAAGAGATTATTTGAGGCTTTACTTCAAACTCGTTCCGGTTTGGGAATGGTACTTGAATTGCAGATCTATTTTGGAAGTTCTGAATCGGTGCATCAAAATCAGCAATGCGATGGTTCCTGGCTTGTCTTCGGTGTTGATTTGCCTACTGGCTATTGCGTCCATTCGGCTGCATCCTGGTTGTTACCATCAGCTACATTGATAAGAGCATCAAGATCTTCGCGTTCTTCTCTCTCTCGGTTTTGAGGATTTCTTGGAGGGATCTCGTTTTCATTTCCATCTAGCTGAGGCTGATCGTCTCCTCTGTGATCATCCTCTTGGTTTTCACCATGCTCGGACCCATCTTGGTCCACGTTTAAGTTGCAGTTCACAGAATCTCCAGGTTGGTCATCATCGGCCATTTCTTGCGTTCGTCTAAGTCTTCGAAGTTCTCTTTTGTGTCTGTCAATCTCGTCTAGAATTGGAATGTTTTCTGTAGGTTTGCGCCTGGTATTCATACAATTCAGAGAAAAAAAAAAGAGAAATATATTTCAGCAACTTAAGAAGGAACAAGAGATCAGATGTCTAGAAAATAAATTAGAACAAGAAACATAAAAAGGACAGCGAAACAAATCCCCGGCAACGGCGCCGAAAACTTGATGTGCTGTGAGGTTAGGGAACAAGTTTTACCCTAATAAAAACAAATGAAAGCCGCAAATGCATAGCTAATCAGCCGTAGTACTTAGGGATCGAATCCACAGGGATTACTGTGCCTATTATTTTTCTACGGTTTCTAAATTTATGTCTAGACTATATTGGTTTTAAGGGGTTGGTGTTTGTCACAAATTAAACTAAAACTAAAGAAAGCAAATAAATCTATCCCAAAAAGCAATTGAGTAATCGAATAGAAGTAAGTCAAGCAAGCAGGAATTCGAGCTAAAGCAAGTAAAAATGCAGATCTAAAAGAAGCAAATGTAAATCGATTAAGTTGTAAACAATGATTAAAAATGCTAGACTTTCGAGAACTCTATAGGGATCATAATCGGTTTCAACACTAGGGATCTTAGATTGGGATTGACGGATATCAAAATATTAGGGTTCTAGAGCTAGAGTACGGCGCTATGACTACGTCACTGTCGTGATCATAACCAACTGTCTCTTGCAACCCTGACCAGTAGGTTTACACTCTGGCCCTGGAAGAGAGAAGATGCAGGAGCTTGTACAGGACTCGTTAGTACTCACGACTTTGCCGTAGGTAGGTTTCCACTCCTACGAAAAAATTGCTTGTTTCATTCTAGGTCGGACACTTAATGAAAACTTTTGCAACACTAACTATCTAGATCAGATACAAGGTGATCAATCAAGCATACATGCATTAAGATTAAGAATACATAGAGAAAATAGTTAAAATCCAAGATCTAAAAACCTAGATGTCTTATTCGATTATGAGAGCCCCTTTCGGGAACCCTATGCCCAACTCAGGATCTACTCAGCCATGGCTGGCGTCGACATCATCATTGGTTTTAATGAAAGCAATCAAAAGCAGTAAAGAAAATAGATGAAAGAAAGCTTCTCTATTGATTAACTCAAAGTTGGAGAATTCTCTCTAAAAATCGCATAAAACGGCTGGGAAAAAGGGTTTCTAGTCTTCAATACTCCAAAGTATCTAGGGTTTCAGAATTGAGGCTGGAAAATGACTTGGACTTTGGAAATGGGCTTCTTAAGTCGGAGATGCATGGCCACGGCGTGAAGCATGACCGTCGGGAATAGGTGCTTGGTTGCGGTTTGATAACACTTGATTTTGACAACTTTTCACCATTGATTTCAAATGCTTTTTCAAAGATTTTAATTAGTTTTAGGAACTTTTATTATTATTTCCATGTATTTGTAGTTTCAAGGCTCTTTTCAGGAAACTTAGGGAAAATGATGGCAAAATGGAAGAAATCCACATTTTCAGCTCAGAGTCAGACCATCAGAAGTTCAGCCTCATATGAAGACTTTCTCACCGTCTGATCCAGCTTAAATTTGGAGACAATCAAGAGGAGACAACCAGCCTTCCATAGCACTTTACATTACGAAGATTCAACAGTGAAATCAAAAGATACATGGAGAACAAGTTGACCCAGATCACCAGTCCCGGAAGACTCTCACCCGCGGTAAACACATGTTTTACCTGCCCTGGAAGACTCTCACCACCGGTGGACCTTAGGACGAGCCACAAGGCTCAACATCAAAGCCCACTTTGCCATTCCTCTTCAGATAAGCCCTAAATAAGACATGCAAGACCTTAGGACATATAAATACATTGTTTAGCAGCCCTAAACGGTTGTGTGCTCCTGTAATGAGATTTTGAGCCACCAAACTCTGTTTTTCTAGGGTTAGGCGATGGAGATAGGGATTTTTCCCCAGATCCACTGTTCTTTCTCCTTTTTATCTTATTAAATTTTCTGTTTCATTCTTTTGCATTGTTCTATGTCTTTCATCATTCAGTGCATCATGTAGATTAGTCCCAGAGAGTCAAGTTGTTTGAAGATATCGGCAAGCATATATATATCAATTAGGATTTCTATTGTTCTTAGCCATATTCTGGATCTCATCTCTTCTAAGTTGTTCGTAAAGCATGAAAGTAGATTCATGACCTATTATCTGAGCTTAGGATCGATCATAGCCACGAGAGTGCTGAATCAGATCATCCGTACCTAGTTTCAGAAGAACGTAGTCGCTATAGGAGTCGAAAGCTACCTATAGAGAAGATGTGAGCAGAAAAATTCAATGTCTAATGCATGATCTTAAGTTTAGCATGAGAACGAGAGTTAATTGCTAGATCTAAGAGATTAGTTGATTAAGGTGACGACAGTTGGTTAATCATACATATGTGTATTCTAGTTCAATGCAGATTCTCAGAAACAGATGAAAATAAATCGCCCGGAAGCTAATTGGAAATGCCATCATACATCGATTAGAGTGAACCGGAGAATTCTAAATCGCCACCTATGAGTTCAAGAGTCTTTACTTTGATTCGATATGCTTTAGATGTTCTTTTAACAATTCATCCTGCATTGCATTTCTTGTGAGTATTAGATTAGTTTAGGATCTTAACCAAAAACCCCAAAACCTTTTATTGGTTTATGACTTTGCTTACTTCTCAGTTTGTTGTTTCTCGCAGATTAGACATCCTCCCTGTGGATCGACGCCCTAAGTCATACAACGTACATCTGTGCACTTGCAGACACTAGGGTTTTATAAATTTAAAACTTTTGGAGGACCAACGGGCTTGTTAAAAGACAACCCTAGGCGCGCAAGCCCACCAAGTTTTTGGCGCCGCTGCCGGGGAGAATTTTAGTCTCTGGAGGTCTAAACCTGGGACGTTGAGTCGCAGAAGACTATATATATGTCGAATTTCTGCCAAAGCAACATAGGAAGTAAACCAAATTCATAAACACCCTAAAGGCCTTTGAATGGCCTTTATTAGCAACTGCTGGAGCCATCATGGATTGGCCAAACAGGCGAGTGTCATTTGCCAATATCGACAAGGACATCTTCTATGAAGCTACACCACTTCAGATCAAAAGAGGAGAGCATAAAGCCCAGGCATTTGAACCAGAAGAACTCTGGAGTGATGAAGAACCTGCAAGACAGAACAAGAGGATTTCGAAGAGGACTTGTCTTAGGACAAGATCCTATTTAAACTAAGTCTTTTTCTTTGCAAAGTCTAGCTAAGGACTATAAACCAAAGCGCTTGATGGGGGGCAACCCATTTTAGGTACTTATTTATTTTTGTTTAGCTTTCTTTTTCTATTAAAGTTTTGTTTCTTTCATTTTAGATAGGCCTTAGTATGCCACAAAAAAAAGAGAAGAAAGGAGCTCGCCGCGGCCAAAGGAGGTTCAGCGGCGGCCAGCAGGTGTTTTACCGCGGCCAAGAAGATCTGGCCCGCGGCCGCGATGTTCCAACCCACGGCCAGCACAGCCGGCCACCTCGGCCACCTCTATTCCACCTTGACCACCTCCATTTCACCTTTGGCCATTACCATTCCATCTTTGGCTACTACCATTCCATCCTTGGCCACTTCCACCACCACCTTGACCAAATCTATTTTGGATCCCTAGCATCCAAGTTTGATCAAGCATCACCACCACAACCACCTCACAATCCATCACCAGGTAAGTTTTCTATTCCTTAATCTTTTAAATTTTTCACATACTCTATTTTTCATCCTTGCCTGATCTATTTCACACTGAGGCAGTGTGATTTAAGTCTAGGGGAGGATTTCATCCCTTTCTAACCACCTTTTCTTGCATGAGTGATGTGGTGTTGTGTGAGGGTTGTCAAGTTTTACCCTAAATGAAATCAATAGCCGCAAGTGCACAGCTGATCGATTGTAGTACTTAGGGATCGAATCCACAGGTAAAGAGGATCTTTTCCTGCAAAAGCCTTTGAAAGAAATATAAAGCAAGGAAGTCTAGAACCAAACGGTTTTGTGAGGGTTTTGGTGGTGTGTTTAAAATGTATAAACGAAATCTAAAAAGAAAATACGGAAAGTAAATGGCCTAATAACTAAACTTAACGAAAATGAATAAAAATGAGAAAAACGGATATTCTAATTGCTTAAATGAAAATCTACTAAAAAGGAATGAAAATATTGAACTAAAGCTTGAAATAAAAACGGTGTGAATCTATAGGAAAGAAGGCGTTGGGGTTCAGGGAAGTTTTCTCAGGGGTACGAACGATTCAAAACATTGCTAGAGAGTAAAATTGATAAGATCTTAGCT